GGGAAGGGGCGTGGGGGGGGCGGCCCGCCAGCAGGGCCGGGGCGGAGTGCACTGACCACGAGGCCCGGAGGGTCCCAGCCGGGAGCGGAGCCTGCACCCGCCACCACCCGCCCTTCGGGAAATGTCATAACTGAGCCCAGAAGGCAGGTGCACCGGGAAATTGTGTTTGTGGAGTCTTGATGGGCAGGAGGGAAACTGAGTCACCGCGCTCAGAAGCCGCGGGGGTCAGCGGGTTGGAAGGGGATTGGGTCGGCTGGGCGGTACGAGGGGAGGGGGGGGTTGGGTGGGCCTGTGCGGGCCGAGGTGGCCTCTGGCTGGGGACGTCTCAGCAGTGTCTGCACCTCTTGGCTCCATTCCCCTGGTGTTCTGCCTCCCGCATCTCCTGGCTGCTGGTGGTTGGTTTTGGAGTTGTCCTTATGGTGGGGGCCGTCTGAGCCGTTTAGGGTCCTGGCCAAAGCCCGGGGGGGGGAGTGGAGGGGGGTGGGATGCAGAGTTGGAGGCTGACTGTGGGTTTGAGCAGGAGGAGGTGGAGGTTGCTGCTGGTGTGGGGGAGACACCTGAGCGTCCCCGGGGCTCTCACACCTTCCAGTGTGGCGCAGCCTCGGGTTGTAAATTCTACACCCAGCTCTGCCACTTGCTAGTTGTGACATTTGGGGAAGCTGCTTTCTTTCTCTCTTTTCTCTTTTTTAGAAAGTTAGCCCGCTAGTCCCCTTCTGCCCTCCTCCCCCCCAAAGAGAGTAATAATGGCAGTCATTTCTCCTGTTTGCTTTGTGTCAAGCACTGACGTTCCATTTCGTTTCTCCCAACGCCTATCAAAGGTAGGGATCATTAGCTCTGTTTCAGTAGACAGGAAGACTGCAGCTGAGTGAGGATGTGTCATTTGTTCAAGATCACACAGCTAACAAGTGGCTGAGCCGGGGTTCAGCCCAAGTCTGACTCCAAATCCCATGGCCTTGGGCACTGCCAGGTTAACCAGCTTTTGGGGTACATTCCCTGGGGGTAGAAAATATCAACAATCCTAGGGCCCCAGATCCTGCCCTGTGATGACTGAATTTATGCTGTGGTCAGCAAAGACTTGCCTTGACCCACCCCGCCATCTTTCTTTTTTATGGTGCTTCTGCCACTAGGCCCCAGACTAAAGCCCTCCCCCATCCTCCTGTACCCATTCCAAATTTCCTTCCCTCAGTGCTTGGGTGATGGGTTCAGCTTCCATAATGACAGCTGCTTTGAGCCACCCCGTCCATGTCTTAAATGAACAAACTCTTACCTCCGAGTTGGACTTAGGATACTTGAGGGAGGGTCTCTTTAAGCTGGATGGTTCTAATATCCCATCAGTCCCTGGTGAGCTGGGTGTGGTAAGCAGTTTGGGTTCTCTCAAGCTCTGGGGACAGAGACTGGGTACTCGAAAGCATAGCAGAGTGGACCCAGTGTTGTAAAGCTTGTCTGAGCTTTGGTTTTCTCATATTGGAGGTTATGACATCTTCTCCCCGGGAAAGGTAAGATGACTCGATGGAAGCCTCTGGAATGGCACATGGGAAGTGCGTGACAGGTGGTGGAGGATCTGTTTTAAGAGAAGGGCAGTGGTGAGCTGGAGTTCTTTGTGGAGGGAAGTATTCCACACCTCCCTTGCTCCTGGATCACTTTCCGAGAGAGTGGTTGCAAAGGCAGCCGGAGAAATCCTGTGGGGACAGCCTTAGGGCGCGTGGGGTGTGCCGATCGGGAAGAGGGAGAGGCATTTGGGTTCTCTCCCCGATTGTCCTCTGAGGGGTATGAACCACATGAGGGGTCTCTGGCTTGGGTTGGGATGCCCCGTCCCACCTCTGCAGTGACTCTGTGTATGTATGTGCCTCTCTCTTCCTCCTGCAGCTGCTGCCGCTCACCCTGTGTCTCCTGGCCACTTCCCTCCTTGCTGCCCTTCCCCACAGGCTCTCCCTCTCCTCCTCCTGGGGCCCATCATGAATGGTGCCCCTTCCCCTGAGGATGGGGCCTCCCCCTCCCCGCCCCCTCTCCCTCCACCTCCTCCTCCAAGTTGGCGGGAGTTCTGTGAGTCCCATGCTCGGGCTGCGGCCCTGGATTTTGCCCGCCGTTTCCGCCTCTACCTGGCCTCCCACCCACAGTACGCGGGGCCTGGCGCAGAGGCTGCCTTCTCCCGCCGTTTTGCTGAGCTCTTCCTGCAGCACTTTGAAGCCGAGGTGGCCCGGGCCTCTGGCTCCCTCTCGCCACCTGTCCTGGCCCCCCTGAGCCCTGGCCTGGAAAGCCCACCACCCAACGACCTGTCCCTTGAGAGCTGCAGGGTGGGTGGGCCCCTGGCTGTGCTGGGCCCTTCCCGATCATCTGAGGACCTGGCCGGCCCCCTCCCTTCCTCCGTCTCTTCCTCTTCTTCAACCTCCTCAAAGCCGAAGCTTAAGAAACGCTTCTCCCTCCGTTCGGTGGGTCGTTCGGTTCGAGGCTCGGTCCGTGGCATCTTACAGTGGCGGGGGACCGTTGAGCCTCCCTCCCCAGCTGGGCCCCTGGAGACCTCTTCGGGCACCCCAGTCCTGGGTGGAAACAGCAACTCCAACTCCTCTGGTGGGGCTGGGAACATTGGTAGGGGACTGGCTAGTGACGGCACGTCCCCTGGGGAGAGATGGACTCACCATTTTGAGAGGCTGAGACTCAGTCGAGGAGGGGCCTCCTTGAAGGACGGAGCAGGGCTGGTGCAGAGGGAAGAGCTCCTGAGTTTCATGGGGGCTGAAGAGGCCGCTCCCGACCCTGCTGGAGTGGGGCGGGGAGGAGGGGCATCTGGGCCTACCTCAGGAGGAGGAGGAGGGCAGCCTCAGTGGCAGAAGTGTCGCTTACTGCTTCGGAGTGAAGGAGAAGGAGGAGGAGGGAGTCGCCTGGAGTTCTTTGTACCACCCAAGGTGAGCCCAGGTGTGGGGGGCGTGTGTGTGTGTGTGTGTGTGTGTTAAGAGCAACCAGAGTGGTAGCGCAGCCCTGTAGGTAAGCAAGAGGGTTCAGCTTTCCTTCCTCATAAGAGAGAACATAGCTTTGCTGACCCTCTGAGCTAGCCAGTGCTCTGTGGGGCAGCACCAGACAGCAGTCCCCAACTTCCCCGAGAGACCTAAAAAGGACGGTGAATGTGCGGAGGGAAGGGAGAGATGATCTCAGCACACCAACCAACTGGCTCTTGCTTCATCTCCCGCCAAGGCTTCACGGCCCCGACTCAGCATCCCCTGCTCGACCATCACAGACGTCCGGACAACCACAGCCCTGGAGATGCCCGACCGGGAAAACACGTTTGTGGTGAAGGTAAGAGCACGGAGCCCCTGTCTCCCAGGGAGTACTCAGGCCAGGGAGGAAGCTCTTGGCACATTGTCAACAAACAGCCATGGCTAGAGCGTGTGGCTTTGGGTTTTCTGGAAGGGGGCTAGAGAAAGGAGATGTTCTCATTCTTCTTAGGAGTAGATGTGGTCATGGGACTCCTCCCCATCCCCTGCCCCGGCTGAGGCCTTCCCTCCTCTGGGTCCTGTAGGTGGAAGGCCCCTCGGAGTACATCCTGGAGACGACTGATGCTCTCCATGTGAAGGCCTGGGTGACTGACATCCAGGAATGCCTGAGCCCAGGGTGAGGAGCCTGCCTTTGTCACGGAGGGGCCTGGGCGGGAATGGAGAGCACTCTTGTACCTCTCTCCTGGTGATCTTCTCACCAGCAGCATTTTTCCTATCTCTACAGACCCTGCCCTGCTACCAGTCCCCGTCCCATGACCCTCCCTCTAGCCCCGGGGGCCTCCTTCCTCACAAGGGAGAACACAGAGAGCCTGGAACTGCCCTGCCTGAATCACTCAGAGAGTCTGCCCAGCCAGGACCTGCTGCTGGGCCCCAGCGAAAGCAATGAGCGCCTGTCACAGGGTAAGGTGGCACCTCGAAGGCCTGGAGGTCTCCAAGCCCCTTGGGCAAGGCTCCTGTCCTTTCCCTCTCTGGAGACTCTTCTGAGCACGCCATTCCTGTGTCCTGTCGTCCTCATCTTTTGTCCTCAAATATGCCAAGCACTTTCGGGCCACAGAACCATCATCAGTCCACACAGGCCCCAAGCAAACTCCTATGCAACTTTCTTTTTTTTTTTTTTTTGGTCCGGTCGTGGGGCCTGAACTCTGGGCCTGGGCGCTGTCCCTCAGCTCTTTAGCTCAAGGCTAGTGCTCTACCACTTGAGCCACAGCGCCACTTCCGGCTTTTTCTTTATGTGGTGCTGAGGAATTGACCCCAGGGCCTCAGGCATGCAAGGCAAGCGCTCTACCACTGAGCCACCTGCCCAGCCCCCTCCTATGCAACTTTCTACGCCCAGCCTTCCACTTCTGTAAGTCTCCTACAGGCTCCCGTGCTGGCCCACGCAGGTAATGATTTCTCTTTTCCAAGCTTCTCGAACACTGTTGTTCTTAGTCCGTATCTCTGCTGAAGACTCCCAAGTTTTGTTTTGTTTTTTTGTTTTTTGTTTTTTTTTTGCCTCTGTGCTTCTTGGCCTGACCAAACTCTCCTGTACACATAAGGAGACAATCCATGTTATCTACTCCTTGAGCCACCCCCTTAGCCTAATTCACCTTTCTCCATTTGGCTTCTACTCTACCCTTTCCCTTTCTCCTGACCCTTGTTTTCAGTTTCAGCTTCACAATGCCTAAACCAATGATGGTCCTAAGCCAAGGAACAAAGAAATCATAGACTCTTGGAGCTAGAGTGGACCTTCCAGATCATTAGATCCAGTGGTCTTGGCTCCCTGAAGGGGGAAGAAGCTTTTCTGGGTTCACATGTTGGGCTCCACCCACCTGGTTCCCGAGCCCCTTCCACACACGCTGATCTCTTGGCACAATAGTGGACATTTTTGTAGGCCCAGGCCTGCTCCTCAGCAGACATTCAGGAAGTCCTTGTACATGGCTGGTCCTCCGCTGGGCACCCTCTCCCCTCCCCTGGACACTCCAGGAGAGTCAGATGTCTGAGAGGAGCTCCTTGTCCATTGTGGGCTTAGTCTAGCTAGGTTAGTAAGACCTTGCTCTTGATTTCAGAAAAAGTAAGTTCCTCAAACAGAGAGGCTGAGCTGTATCCTCCCAGACAAGCAGCTTGGGACCTCAGGAGGTAGAGAACAGGGAAGGAGGAATAGAGAGACTGCTTCCTAGAGCAGGCGAGAGAGCATGGCTTGAAGGGGGTGAAGGCTAGCCCAGAGAGCTGGTGGAGGAAGACGGCCAGGATGCTTGGAAAGCTGGTATAATAGATGAAATGGGCTGGAGTAAAGAACACGTGGGGGGCTGGGGGCCGGTGCCTCCTGCCTGTCATTCTAGCCACACAGGAAGCCAATCAGGAAAGACCCTTATCTCCTATTAACCACCAAAAGCAGGAAGTGGAGCTGTAGCACTACCCTTGAGCAAAAAAAGCTCAGGGAAGGCATCCAGGGCTTGAGTTGAAGCCCAAGGACCGGCACATACACAAAAAGAACACATGGGTTCAATGAAAGATCAAGTTCAAGTTGGTTTAGCTTAGGGGGAGTAATAGAAGAGGAATATTTTTGTAGTTGTTTTCACAGTACTGCAGTCTGAACTCAGGGCCTGGCACTTGCTAGGTAGGTGTTGTACTACTGGAGCTATTTTTCCCCCACTGCAATTAATTAGTTAATCATTTTTTAAGTGCCTGTTTTGGGGCTTGAATTCAGGTCCTAGGCCCTGAGTGTTTTTATTTGAGGCTAGTGTTCTACCATTTGAGCCACAGCTCCTCCTCTGGTTCATGGTAGTTAATTGGAGCTAATCTCACGGACTTTCTTGCCCAGGATGGTTTTAAACCTGGCTTTGAACCACAATTCTCTGATCTCAGCATCCTGAATAGCTAGGATTACAGGCATGAGCCACTGGTGCCTGGCCTCCCAACCTTTTTTACTTTAGTTTGTTTTTCAGATAGAATCTTCCACTTCTGACTGAGTTGGCCTTAGACCATGATCCTCCTATCTCTGTCTCTAGAGTAGTTAGAGTTACAAGTGTGCACCACCACACCAGGTTCCACACCGGGTTTTGTTTTGTTTTTTGGTGGGGCCTGAACTCTGGGTCTGGGCAGTGTCCCTCAGCTCTTCAGCTCAAGACTAGCGCTCTACCACTTGAGCCACAGCGCCACTTCTGGCTTTTTTTCTTTTTGCTTGTGTGGTGCTGGGGAATTGAGCCCAGGGCCTCAGGCATGCAAGGCAAGCGCTCTACCACTGAGCCACCTTCCCAGCCCCCACACCAGGTTTTGAGAGAGGTTCTTGCTAAGTTTTACCTTGTTTGGCCTTGGACCACCATCCTCCCACTTCTATATCCCAAGTAGCTAGAATTAGAGGTGTGAGACACCATACTGAGGCCCTTTTTAGTTTTTCTGCGAGTGTCTCCCTCTATAGCTAGGCTGCCCTTGAACTTGATATCTTCCTGCTTCAGCCCCCTGAGTCTGTGATTACAAGTGTGTGTCACTTGGCAGATAGAAAAAAAAATTTTGGTCTGTCGTGGGGCTTGAACTCTGGGCCTGGGCGCTTTCCTTGAGCTCTTCAGCTCAAGGCAGGTGCCACTTGAGCCATAGTGCCACTTCCGGTTTTCTGGTGGTTAATTGGAGATAAGAGTCTCACAGACTTTCCTGCCTGGGCTGGCTTTGAACCACGATCCTCAGATCTCAGCCTCCTGAGTAGCTCGGATTACAGGCGTGAGCCACCAGCACCGGCCAGATGGAAATTTTTTGATTCCTGTTAGTGTTAGGAGCTTTGTCCTGTTAGCCAAGCAAGGGACTCGGTTATTATTTGGTGGTCCTGGGGTTAGAACTTGGGGCCTCAAGCTCCATAGGCAGGCACTTGACCACATGAGCCACACCTGAAGCCCCCAAAGGCTCCTCTAACATAAAACATTTGAACCAGCTGTAACCGTCTTTCACCTGACGATTCAGAAAAGACATAGGGACGTTTGGATCCTAGGACCTCCTTGCAATCGCTGCGGTCCCTCAGCAGTGCACCAAGCGTTAAGTTGGAGGTCGCTGGTCCACACCCTCAGGGGTCACTGCCAGTGGGCAAGCAGACCAGAACCAGGTCTCCAGAAGCGGACGTGTGGAGCCCTCAACCCTGCCCTCCTCCCTTTCCTTCTAGGGGCATACGGGGGCCTCTCAGATCGGCCTTCTGCATCCATCTCCCCCAGTTCTGCCTCCATTGCCGCCTCCCATTTTGACTCAATGGAACTGCTTCCCCCAGAGTTGCCCCCTCGCATGCCCATTGAGGAGGGCCCCCCAGCAGGGACAGCTCATCCTCTCTCAGCCCCCTACCCTCCCCTGGACACTCCAGAAACAGCCACAGGTACCAGAGGGTGATGTGTGTCTTGCCAGGGCTGCTTGCCTGCCTTCCTGAGGCTCTTGTCTGGGGAGTAGCGTGCACCTGAGCTGGGAGGAGGGGGGGACAGAGGGGCCGAGGGACCAAGGAAGAGCAGGGCCTCCCTGACGCCCCAATTTTTCCTCCCTCTCTCCCTCCTGAAGGGTCATTCCTGTTCCAGGGGGAGTCGGAGGGAGGCGAGGGGGACCAGCCCCTCTCAGGGTACCCTTGGTTCCACGGGATGCTCTCTCGACTCAAGGCTGCCCAGTTAGTGCTGGAAGGCGGTGCCAACTCGCATGGTGTCTTCCTGGTCCGTCAGAGCGAGACAAGACGGGGCGAGTACGTCCTCACTTTCAACTTCCAGGGCAAGGCCAAGGTGAGTGGCCACAAAGGAAGCTGCAGAGCGTGCGCTGTCTGTGCGCGGGGCCGAGGGCCTGCAGCCGCAGCTGGCTGGGACCTCGGCCTCGGCCTCACTGGCTCCTCCTGCCCCTCAGCACTTGCGCCTGTCGCTCAACGAGGAGGGCCAGTGTCGGGTCCAGCACCTGTGGTTCCAGTCCATTTTCGATATGCTCGAGCACTTCCGGGTGCACCCCATCCCTCTTGAGTCTGGAGGCTCCAGTGACGTGGTCCTCGTCAGCTACGTGCCCTCCCAGCGGCCCCAGGGTGAGCAGAGCAGGTCTGCCGGGGAGGAGGTGCCCGCGCACCCAGCAAGTGAGGTGTGTGTGCCAGGAAGGCGGGCGGGGATGGAGGCCAGGCTGTCAGGGAGAGGGGCCGTAGAGACCCTAGGCAAGGGGGCCTGCGCGTGCAGGCCAGGGATGGAGGAAGGCGGAGCTGTAGGCAGGCCGAGGCTCCTCCGGGGCCGGGAGCAGTGCAGAGTGGGCTGGTGCATTCCCATTCCATTGGCTCCTCCGTGCCATCATCGTCTGTCTCCTGGCTTCATCCTCCCAGCCCTGTCTTTGCCCTCGTCACTGTGACCTCCTCGCTCTGGGCCTGCCTGCCCTCGTGGGGGATGCTTGGTGATCCCCCTCTCCCTCCTCCCTTGATGTCTGATGGTCCCTGTCTGATCTCTCCCTTTCCCCCACCCCAACGTCCCCATCTGTCCCCACGTTACCCCTCCCCCAGGCCGGGAGCAGGCCGCGAGCCATGCAGGGGTGTGCGAGGGAGATGGATGCTACCCCGAGGCCTCCTCCACCCTCCTGCCCTTCGGAGCGAGTGACTGTGTGTAAGTGTGGTCCTCCTCTCACCACCGCCCATGATCCATCCTTCATGGAGGGGGGGTGCTCAGGAGACGGGTGTGGGGGAGATAGCACATGGCTCCTGGGGGGGGGCGAGCGAAGGGGAGGCTGCTGCAGAGCTCGCCTCCCTCCACAATCAGTGTCTTCTCACCATTCCCATCCAGAGCCGAGCACCTCCCATGACCCACCCCAGGCCCCTGAACCCCCTCCATGGACAGCTCCCCCACATCCTGGGGCAGAAGAGGCGGCGGGGGCGCCAGAAGTGGCGGCAGCAGCAGCCACAGCAGCCAAAGAGAAGCAAGAAAAAGAGAAAGCGGGCAGTGGAGGGGGCCAGGAAGAGCTGGTCCCCCTGGCTGAGCTGGTCTCCATGGTGGAATTGGAAGAGGCCATAGCACCTGGAGCGGAGGCCCAGGGTGGTGCTGGCTCTGGTGGGGACACGGCCGTGACCCTGATAGCGCAGCTCCAGCAACTACCACTAGGGGGCAACAGAGAAGAAGGGGGCCATCCCAGAGCCATTAATAACCAGTACTCCTTTGTGTGAGCCACCCACCCACCCTCCACTCTCCTTGCTCCCCAGCCTTCGGTGGAGAGGCTAGGCGGGGTGGGGACATAGAGGAGAGTGGGACTCCCCTCCCCACATGCTTCCTGACCCTTGTCAGCCAAGGGCATATATGTTGGTACGAGCAGCCATTCGAGAGCCCTGCTAACTCCCCAGTTTGTACACTACAGGTGCCCCTTCCCCACTGGGGACTCGGGCTCCATTACCTCCCTGCGGGGCTCCTGTGCTCAGTCCCATCCCTGGGGGCCATTTCCCCACTAACCACCCCCCAGCCCAAGCAAAGGGTGAGGGGGAAGGGCTGTCAGTTGTATTAAGATTGTCATTATTGTTTTAAACAAAACAGAGCAGCATAAATCAATAAAAGGGTTATCTCAGTTCCACGGTGGTGGCCAGTCTTTGCAGTGGGGCCCGGGACAGGTGTCCGGAGGGCCACTCTCCTGTCCCAGAACCTGAGCTTCAGAGCTGAGGGGCCAGAGCGCTGGGTTTCAGGGCCATGGCTTTGCAGGCTGGCTGGTGTGCAGAGCTCAGCAGTACGTCTTGGAGTTTCTAGCACATTCTCTTCATGCAAGTGCGGCCCACAAGCCATTTGTGTGGTTTTGTGTGTGTGTGTTTGTGCACATGTGCACAGGCAAGCATCAGTACTAGGGCATTAACTTGGGGCTTGGGTGCTGTTCCTGAGTTGTTTTGCTCAAGACTAGCACTCTACTGTTACAGCTCCACTTCTTGCTTTTGGTGGTTAATTGGAGAGAAGAGTCTCTTAGATTTTTCCTGCAGAGGGCTGGCTTTGAACTATGATCCTCAGATCTCAGCCTCCTGAGTAGCTAGGATTGTAGGCATGAGCCACCAGTGCCCGGCCACAGGTCTCCCCCGGCTCCCATCCTGGTGCTTGAACTCAAGACCTGGGCCTTGTCCTTGAGCTCCCTTTGCTCAAGGCTAGTGCTCTACCATTTGAGCCACAGTACCACTTTTGGCTTCTTCTGAGTAGTTTATTAGCGGTAAGAGGCTCATGGACTTTTCTCTCTGGGCTGACTTTGAACCTTAATCCTCAGATCTCAGCCTTCTTAGTAGCTAGGATTAGAGCTGTGAGCCAGTGCCTGGCTACAGGCCTTTTTTTTTTTTTTTTTCATTCCTGGATTCAGGGCTTGGACATTGTTCCTGAGCTTCTTTTGCCCAAGGCTAGCACTCTACCACTTGAGCCATAGCACTACTTCCAGCTTTTTCTATATACGTGGTATTGAGGAATCAAACCCAGGGCTTAATGCATGTTAGGCAAGCGCTCTACCACTAAGCCACATTCCCAGCTCCAGGATTTTTGTTTTTTGTTTTTGTCAGAGAGCTTGAACTCTGGGCCTTGGCGCTGTCCCTGAGCTCTTCAGCTCTAGGCAAGTGCTCTGCCACTTGAGCCACAGCGCCACTTCTGGTTTTCTGGTGGTTAATTGGAAATAAGAGTCTCGTGGACTTTCCTGCCCCAGCTGGCTTTGAGCCATGATCCTCAGATCTCAGCTTCCTGAGTTGCTAGAATGACAGGCATAAGACACCAGCTCCCAGCACTCCAGGCCATTTTTTAAGGCCCTTGACAGCATTTGGTACATGATAAGATCCACACAGATGCTTCCTGTCAGCTGCCTATAGCTGTCTGACTATATTGATAATTTTGTGTGGCATCAGAATGATGTTATAAATATCCAAGTCGGGGTTGGGAAGGTGGCTCAGTGGTAGAGCGCTTGCCTTGCATGCCAGAGGCCCTGGGTTCGATTCCTCAGCACCACATAAGC